GGTTTAAAGGTTTAAATGTTTAAAGGGTACCGTTGTAAATCGGACATGTAACTCTACAAATAAAAAATCTTTACATTGAGTATTGAAAATAAAAAAATATTGATGATTTGAAAAAAAACATTTCTTGCGGATTGTTAGAAACTATGTTGATCCCCCCTCTCCCTCCTTATGTTGTAATTGCGCCGTACAAAATATTTCTAGTTTTGTTGAATGTTTATCAGGAATCAGAATGACTGTGTAATATTGTGTTAAAGATGGTTTTTGATCAACTCTGTGTAAATATAAGATTATTATTAACTAAAGTAAACATTGAACTAAATGTAAACGTTGACATGAACATTGGAGAAGGAAGAATCTGTCGGATTCATTATAACTTGACAGATGACTGTCGGATTCATTATAACTTGACAGATGACAAAGAACTTTAACACATTTATTTTTTTGATAAAATAGGTGATGGTGTAATTTTAAGTCATAAAAAGGTAATTTTTGTACTTTTCCTTTTTTTACCTGTTTTACCATTTTACTGCTTAAGTTTTTTTTGGCAAGTTTGAGGGAAAAATTCTCAATACTTCCAATATTTAAAATTCGGTGATGGTGATGGACCAAACCTCTGTAGAGTAGATGTTAGTATCACATTTATTGAAAATATATTTCGGTCTGGGTTGACCCTCGTCAGTTCCAATAGTATTGCCAAATTCATCGGTACATGCTTTTTTGAACCTTTTGTACTTCTCTCAACGTGAAGTTGCATTATTACTTAAAACTAACCCTTTTTGTAGAGGGTGACCCACGAAACATGACAGTTGTTGAATAGTTTTGTATGTCTTCTTCCATATTTTATATTGGATATTAAAGACTTTTTGTATGTCATTTCATCAAAAAAAATTTTAAATAATATAATTGCCATAGAAAATGTTTCATCATTCTCTTTAATATCAAACAACTTAACTAATTATGTAAGAAGACATTTTAAACTATTCACTAACTGTAGTGTTTCGTGGGACACCCTGTACCTCTGTCCGTTGTTGCTTAATATTCGGTATAGTGGAACCCACAAACCTTTAGTAAAGGAAGACGACTGTTTAACTCAAGGTATGATTTTTCATTGAAATTAACAACAAACACAGTAATGGTTCAGTGTTTGCAGACCTAATTTACACTGGTAAATTATTTGCTTTATAAACACATTAAGTACATATATGATTTAATATATCCCATAGTTTTGTGGGGATCATTGTATGCATAAAACTTTTTTTTTATTCAATTGATGGGAACAATATGGTTAAAAATCAATGATATTGCAACTCCTGTGTGTAAAATAAAAACAAGAGAAGTTACAAAGTGAAAAAGGTGCGTCAGTAATTCCAGGTAAATGACTTTCTCGTGCTGAGATTCAAGTAAATAAAGATATATTTTGATTTTATAATTAAAAATACATTTTAAAAAAATTTTGTTTTCTTCAATTGAAAAAATATTTTGACATTGACGAAGTCTAGGCTGCGTTATAAAGTTGTTTTTAAGACTGGGTTGAGTTTGAAGTGTCCCAACACCATGGTCTTTCATTTTACCTAGTCATGCTTAATTTATAGCACTAGATATTCACATTTTAGAAATATACAAAGCACATGATTTTAGTATTATCTTTGTGAATTAATTGGCAAAATATTTTTGTTGAGTATACTTAATTGATGTTTCGTCAAATCTTTTCATTCAAATTTAATCATAAATCCCCCCCCTCTCTTTCTTCGTTATAACCTTTTTTTCAAATGATTTATTTTAGTTCTTCTAACTTCTCTATTCATAATGAAAATTAATAATTAGTATTGATAAAAATCTGCAGAGTCATGGTGCTCCCGGGAATACAGGATAGAAATCCGCAAGTATTTTTTTAAATGTCGTCTTTTAATTTGTTAACGGAAGATTAACGGGAATTTTAACCTTATCTGGGATTTAAAAAACCGTATGTCAGTATAAATTGAACAGTGTAGAATAGAAGATACAGAAGAGACAACTGAATATATGTATTTAAACAAATCTGACAATTTTGAAAAATGTTGCCCACAAATAATAAGACTTCAAAGTGGGAATCATAACACTGTGGAAAAGGGAGATGGCAACCTGTTGTGTATTTGATGTTGTTAAATAGAAAATAGGTTTAACAGCAGCTTGTTAAAGTTGTTACTGAGTAAAATTACACTTAACAATTGCAGTGTTTTATATTTGAATATTTAAACACAAAACTTGAGTTTGAAATCCGTCTTTCTAATTTACAGTGATATGGTCCATAGATATACAAGAATTTAGATCGCTAATACAGACTGTAAAGCTGAAAATTGTACAACCCCTTGTAAATCATGAACTCGCCATTTGAAAAGGTCATTGAATACGTTTTACTTCTCGGGGTCAATCTGTAGAGTATTTTTTAACTAATTTATTTAAAGAAGTTTAATAAAAACTAGGCTTCTCCAATCAACTATTTTAGCTTTTAACTCTAAACAGCCTTGGCCGGCCCTATAGTTTTTTTGTCCTAGCACTCTCATTTTTGTCACTATTACCGTGACATTTTGTGACTTTTAATGAATAGTTAATCTAAAGGATTTTTCTGTCAATTTTTTTTTATGCACAGGGCGGTAAAAAGTCCGGTCCGGTCTGTGTAAAAAAAATCTAAAATGGCTTTTTCTGAGACTAAAGCTACAGATCTAAAAATTATATTTTTGAAAAGCCCTTAAAAAATGGATGTAGAAACATGTGTCACAATTGGATGTCTGTTTAAAAAAAAATTACATTTTTACCTTTTTTTAGACATATTTTTCAACCTTCCCGTACTCCCAAACTATAAAAGTTATCAGTCTAAGTTTTTTTTCAATTAGCTGGCCTTGAAAAATTAGTCTATACCTAACCCTATACCTATTCTCGAAGGCCTTTTTTCTAGGGGGGGGCGTGGGACGCTCCCCCCCCCCGGCTATGCATAGATTCAGGCCCCCGTCCAAACACTCAAACACAGATTACAAGACAAATGTGTAAATGAAAGTATAGTTTTAAAAAAATCTCTCTATTGATGAGCCAACAAAATTAATTTGGACATTTTTGGTTTGGTTGGTTTTTCTTCTCTGTTCTTTTCTCTTGAATTGTAACAAAGACGACATCCAAATATATTGCTGGTTTACAGGATTCATTCACCCCCACCCCATGGAAGAAGACATTTTAAATTATATTCACCAACTGTCATGTTTCGTGGGACACCCTGTATATGGTGGCAGTAAAAGAGTTCTTTGACGTCATTAAAGACTCACTCTTTGTGGATAACCCTGTATATTAGAACGTGATAAAGACATTGTTATTTTATTTCAGATCTAGACCTCGGGCTCATCTTGCACAGATCAACAATGAGTTTGGAACATGGATTTAATTATGGAACAAGATTAGGATCAGGAATAGGTTTGGGACCAGGAGAAGGGTTGGTATCAGGAGCAGGGTTGGGATCAGGAGTAGGGTTGGGATCAGGAGTAGGATTGGGATCAGGAGCAGGGTTGGGATCAGAGCAAGTGTTGGGATCGGCAGAGGGTGGAAAACTGCTTCAATCCCTAGCAGATAAATATAGTAGAAGGTAAAAATATTTTTGGAAATTATGATTTTCTTTCTCTTTGAAATCATCATTATTGGAGACCCCTTATATAACACTAAATCCCCGCAAGACGATAGGGGGGTGGACATAGCTGGGAACTATAAGAATCGTATTCTCTTTTTCAAAAATTCTTCACGATTATCTTGTTTAAGGAAAAGGCGTTGGAAGGGGGCGTTTTAAGGGGAGGAGGCTAGTTTCTTGTTTATGAGAGAGGTGGGGGGAGGGGGGGACTATTTTATGCTGAAATGGTTTTGCTTAAATACAGTGTTTCCCACAAAATGAACAATTTTAAAACAAAAAACAAGAATAATATTAAATATGCATGATATGTATTATTAGTCGTCCTATACATATCTATAAAATAAAACAAGACATTAACATATATGTAAATTAAACTTGCAATCTCTATACATGAATGTTACTTAAAGTTATATCTAAAGACCTTTTATATGTTGTCTTTTTATATAGATTAAAATATGCATGACTAATCTACCTGCGGTGGGATTAGTCCATGAACGGAAGAAAGAACAAGAAGAGTAAAGAAAAAATGTAACATATTGACATATAGGAAGATTTCTGAAAAAGAAATGAAATTTGTTACATTTTCTAAATTCTTAATAAATATTCCGAAAAAAGATTTAAAAGAAAAAAAGATTTTTGCGGAAAAAGAATTGTATTCATAAATAAGATAAACCAGAAACTTCTATTGTATAAAATAAGATAAACCAGAAACTACTATTTTATAAAATAAGATAAACCAGAAACTTCTATCGTATAAAATAAGATAAACCAGAAACTACTATTTTATAAAATAAGATAAACCAGAAACTTCTATTTTATAAAATAAGATAAACCAGAAACTACTATTTTATAAAATAAGATAAACCAGAAACTCCTATTTTATAAAATAAGATAAACCAGAAACTACTATTTTATAATATAAGATAAACCAGAAACTCCTATTTTATAAAATAACATAAACCAGAAACTCCTATTTTATAAAATAAGATAAAGCAGAAACTACTATTTTATAAAATAAGATAAACCAGAAACTACTATTTTATAAAATAAGATAAACCAGAAACCACTATTTTATAAAATAAGATAAACCAGAAACTACTATTTTATAAAATAACATAAACCAGAAACTCCTATTTTATCAAATAATATAAACCAGGAACTCCGAAGAAGTATTTAAAAAACAAAATTTAGTCTGAGCATTATATATATATTTGTTTGTATCCGAAAAACGTCAAAACGGCAGAACCTATCGGGCCCAATTTTGTATGGGACCTCACATGACCCCTGGGAAGGTTTAAGGACCATGAAAATTTCAAATACTTGCCTCCATCAAAATGCGATTTTCATAAAGTTTGAAAAACCACGTAATTTTTTTTTATAAAATTCGCAAACTCTTTTTATGTTTTTGTTTTTCAGTGTATATAGAAATAAAAGTGTTCACAATTAAAATAGAAGATGGGCGCTAAGCGCCCTGAATCGGTCCTGAAAGCCTAGTTCCAAATATTCTGTTAGTAATTTAAAACAAAATTTTCATTTAATTTCGAAATACTAATTTTACGATTGATATATTAAAAAGTGACTTATGTGACGTTTTTAACGTTTTTACTGTATCGAACGTTAAAGACGCGCATTATGGACGCACATTTAGGACGCACTATCGTGTAAAAACTAATTAGGACGCACAGAAATGTGACAATAACCAAGATTGAATTAAATTGTTAAATAAATTAAAAACTATAGAGGGCTCACATTGAGAACTCACATTTAGGACGCACTGTAGAGTATAAATTAGAGAGGGCGTACATTAAGAATGCATTTAATAATAATAATGACGTTCTGTAAAGACGCACATTGAAGATACACAATTGATAAAAACTAGAGGGTGCAAATAAAGAGCGCATTAAGTAAAAATGTTGACGCAAATTGTGGACCCACATTAACGACGCACTATCGAGTAAAAACTATTCATGACTAAAAGTGTGACAATAACCAAGATTGAATTGAATTTGTCCAGCGCTGTGTTCGAACCTAAATCATGATTAAACTAAATTCTTTCTGCGGACGGAGGAACTTATATAGAACACGCGATCCAAATAATCCTTCCTCTCCCCCCCTCCCCTCCCCTCCCACCCACTTTGTCAATAAAATCAATTCAATATTTCTCAAGCCATCTATATATATTGAAGAAGAATGTCATCGACTTTGTATATTCACTTCATGTGCGCAAGAACAGTACAATAGATGGCAAGGTAGAATTTGTACACTCTCAGTACAGCTGTATTCTTACGTCACAAGTGTCAACTCAATTTTTTTGTCCGACAAAATTATTATTAACAGTGTGGAGTGTTAATTTTAGATATAAGTACTTATCTTACAGTGAAATAAATTATTTTTATGTGTTCTTAATTTTCTATTTTTACTCTTTTTTTATCTTGGAAAACATGTCAACTAATTTGAGAAAATATTGTTTTCCTTGGTATATTTGACACTTGTGACGTCATTTATTATTTGCCCATTTCTCTGTTGCCACCTATTGTACTTGATAATCTATTTGGTACAATGTAAGTATAAACACAAACAAACTTTTAAAGTTTTATGAGATTTGTTTGACGTTTTATGAAATACAAGATATATGAGATACCCAGAAATTATGATATTTTATCCAATTTTGCTGATACCCTATTAAATCTGGGGTTAAAAGTGTTCAATTCTGATAAATCTGATATGTTTTCCGGCGGCAAAAATGTCAAAGTCCCTTATGTGCTTAAACCACAATATCGGTTTTCAAGATTAGAAACATTGATATCAAATTCCCACTTGACAAAGATGTTAACGGTACCGTTGTAAATCAGGCATTACCCTATTTGTATTTGAAATTACTTTAATACTTACAGTACAATTATTTTATTTCGCAAAAACTTCCAAATACATCAAATGAATTTGATAAACTTATCATGCTACTTTCATTGTAAATATTTAGACGAATGACGAAAAAAAATGTGTCCTGGGGTAATTTTTAATAATTATGGGAAATTTCCAAAATGCCTGTGTAGCTGGGAAATTTCCCAAATGCCTGGGTATCTGGGAAACTTCCCAAATGGCTAGGTTTTTAGGAAATTCCCCAAATATCCAGTCATTTGAGAAATTTCCAAAATCTTAAAAATAAACCACCCTCAAATACCTATAGGAATTTGAGGAATTTCCCAAATGCCTGGGTATCTGGGAAATTTTCCAAATGCCTAGGTTTTTGGGAAATTTAAAAATTGGAAATGGGAAATTTTTGGGGAAATGTAAATGCTGTCGTGTCATGGTTTTTTCATTGTACAACAAGAACAAAAAAGTTTGCTTTCAAAAGAGGTTGGTGGAGAATGAGATGTCCTATTTGATGAGAAAGGGGTCCCTCCCTGCCTTCTCAGTATTCTCAGTATTACATTTATTTACAATAGTTTACGTTAAATCTCTACATCTTTTGATGCAAGTATCAATTCTTAATTTTTCAATAGCATAGGGAAAGAAAACCAGGCAAAATATCTATCTTAATGAACTATAATGTGTGAGAAGTTTAGTCTACCTTCATTAATTTTACCCTTATTAAGTTTTCCAGGTCCAAAAATGTTTCCCCTGCGGCGCGCACCCTAATTACCTATCTATGCTTTTTTACTTCTGTGCCCCCCCCCCCTTAAGAAATTCCTAGCTACGGGCCTGGCCAATGCAGTAGCAGCAAAGAACCCAGTGGTTTACCTTCAAATGACCTCTAACAACCTAAATGAGCGATTACTTCCCTTCTTCTCCCCTCCCACACTGAAATCCCTTTACCCATTTGTCCTTCCTCTGTAAAGTGACATGAACTTGTTGGACGTTGTTTATCAATTTATTGGACCAAGGAATCTTTTCCATCGGCAGCGGATACTTNCTTCCCCTCATCAAATAGGACATCTCATTCTCCACCGTCCCATTTGATCAAAATCGAAATTTGTTGGAGGCAAATTTTTGAAATTTTGACAATCTACATAACTTTCCCTGGGGACATGTTAAGTCCCACACAAATTGGGCCCTGATCGGTTCAGCCGTTTTGAAGTTTATTGGATACAAACAAACAGACAAACAAGCAAAGTGTATAAATATATTACCTTCTCAATGTCCTTAAATACAACTTTCAACTCGGTTACACACTCTTCGCGCACACTCATTTTTTTCTTAAAAATATTATTAAGTAAAATATGTTTAAAACTTTGAATTAATTTAAAGAAGGGTAGTATTTTTTATTTTAATTAATTTTAATTTGAACAGTGCTGAATATATGATTAATAAAACAAAACGAGTCCGTGCAAGGGGCGTAGTGAAGGTTTAGTTTAGGGGGGGTGCACTTATTGCATGCGCCAGCTCGCCGATATTTTTTTTTTGTGCACCCACCTTAAAAAACCCGTATTAGGAAAACAAATTGAAGCTTAAAATCTATATTATCTATTAATATATGAAGATACCTATTACAGTCTACAGCAGTTTTTTTAAATTCGTTTTCTAGTCATATTTGTCCACTATATAGTCCCTTAAAGTAGGCCTGTGCAAGTCTATGTAATTATTATATTTCTTATTGTTATTCTTTTTAGATTGTCAGGTTTTGTGTAACCTTAAATGGTAATTGTAATACTCATGAGAAGTAATTAACATATTCATATATAAAGTTTTTTCTTTTAGAAATGATGCGCGAAGCGTCAAGAACAATTTTGGTATTTTTTCTTAATTGAAACAAATTTGATAAATGATTCACATGCTGGAGCCAAGTGAGGTGGGGGGAGAGGGGGGGCGAAATATGCCGAGGTGGATCGAAACTCGGTTTGCCCCCCCCCCCTAGTTGCGCCACTGTCGATTACACTGGAGACAGATTATTTAAAGTTTAATAAAACTAGCTGCGTCAATCATCTTGTTTTGGAGACTGAAATGGATTTTAAATGAAGCCC